AGTGTCATGTCCGATCAATCAGCGATATATTCAACGGTGACTGCAGCCACGATTTCAATGAACAGTTCGGGGATGGAGAGAACTTTATCAAGACAAGGGATTGGGACGGCATCATCATGCCTGAATGGGTGGAATATGTGGGGGAGCAATTTGGTGAGGCAATATGAATGCTTGACCGGAGAGAATACTGAAGCACCGGAATATTCAGACGGCGAGGACGACGGGGAACCTCCAATGGTCAAATCAAAGAAACGAGTCCCCAGAAAACTAGTTGAACTTGATGAAGATGCTGATGGGTGGCCGATTCTGCCTGACACCACGGGGTGGAAACGAGCTGAACAACAGCACATGATCCGCTCTTTCTTGACGAAGAGTCCATAAATGAAAGTTGCCGTATGTGATGCTCAGATGCATGGTGGAGGGTGATGAGATCTTTGAAGATCCGAGTCAACCGATCTCTGGACTCACAGAACGCCAACAATACAGCGCAGTTGCTTTCCAAAACCTCTTCAGCTGTGGGATCTCGCACTTCATCGCCGGGCTTAATGAGGCTGCCCAGCATTGTTTGGGTGAGGCGATCAACTGTCAATAAGTCAGTAAAGTTGGTCAGTAAAGTTGGAAGAGCAATGTCAGTTGCGTGGTGCTTACATTCGTCGCCATTGAGCCGTTTCACTATGGCAACGGCGGCCTTCTCAGCGTCGCCGATAATGATTCCAATGGATTCACGCCGCATGACTTCACTGGCGGGATCAAGTTTCCGTCGTTTGGGAATGGGGAAAGCACCCTCAAGGTTTGGTAAATCCTTCGGTGTGTAGGTGACTGGCTGCGAAGGCGGTGGTGCTTCTGGGTTGGCAGCTGTAAGGGGCGCCAGTGTCCAATCCCCTACCTTTGCAGGAGGAACCTTACAACCAAACTGGAATGCTTCAATGGTGGTTATTCTTTGGAGAGCTCCTAGATATGTATGAGTGACTTACATTGATTGTTGTGGTCAAACCCAACATGTTTGCCAACACCTGTTGTCGGTGCAGGTCTTGGCTGCCAGCCAAAGTTGAACTTGGGTGTATGTTCAGCCACCAGTGCAGTGGAACGAGTGGAAGGCGGGGAAGGCGGCGATGCAGCTCTCTTGAGAGGGATCACTGATGCTTGCATTGCATTGTCAGGATCGTTGGAAGAGCTACGGCGAGTGTTCTGGACAGGCAGCGGCGAGATCAGTGAGGATGGAGTGTCAGTCTCTAGATCCATCCCAAAGTTGAATGGTTGGGCTGCCAAGGTTGCCGGCTTCGCTGTTGAAAGGGACTTTGTGAAGCCAAAGTTGAATGGCATTGGAACATGGGTAGGTGGTGTAGGCTCGGAGTTCACTGCCACTGGGCTAAAAGGTTGGGCTGCCGGGACTGCTGGCTGCTGTGGTGGAAGGGGCCGAGTCCAGCCAAAGTTGAATGTCAGAGCTAGGGAAGGTGGTGTGAGCACCGAGTCCACTACCGCCGGACCTTGTTTGTGTGCCGTAAACCCGAAGTTGAATTTCTGAGGTGGCGGTCCCATGGCAGCCGTATGATCAGGCGTATCTGGCAAATGGACTGCCGCCGGGCTCTGCCTTCTCACCTCAAACCCAAAATTAAATTTGGGGTGTGCGGTAGGCATCTGGGGCTCGATATCTGACGTAAGATTGGTGGGTGGTTTTTCAAACCCAAAGTTGAACCCTACTTAGAAATAAATTAAGGATCATTTACAGTACAACAAAACTCACTTTGAAGTCGGTTGCCGGTGTTGGATGTCGGCAGGTACGACGATCTATCGCCGCCATTTGGTAGATCAAAATGTACGTGACGGTTAGCTACATTAGGCATCTTGTAAACAGTAGTTGAGTTTCAGATGAGAGATTGTAACAGAATCTTCAAAGAACAGTGGGCATTAAATATGTGCCGATTAATGTTGTGGCCGCATCTGTGGGGTTTAAACACTTAGCCAGAACAATAGATTCTGTCCATGGGAATGTGAACACGTGGCCAGTGATGTGGTGCTTCTGGGTCCGCATTGTGCCGCATGGCACGGGTGCTCGAGCCAAGTTTGTATAATGACATGAAATTTTAATTTGTTCCATTTGGCATATAATACAGAAGTTAATTGTCCCCATCTTTTGAACTTACACTCACATTCCCTGCTCATCATGCCATCCTCAGAAGATTCGAATAAGGCATTCAATGAAGCCACCACCGGGGTCCTGCAAATTTTGGCGAGAGCCTTGCAGTTGACCGATGGTGTTGCCAGCCACCTGGACATGGTGAAGGAAATGGCGAACATCATGGTCAGGATGTCTTCATTAGTCATGGACTCTGACCTAATTAATCTCAGACTCGAGCATTTCAAACACATGCATGGTCGGCGACAGTCATTCCGCCAATATTACTCTTGGCAGCCATGGAATTGATGGAGCACGTCGATCGTGTTAGCCAGACATCATTTCTTAGTGTAGAGCGCCATCAGTTGTATCTCAAGGCCCACAAGGCAATCACAGGTCTGATCCCAGCGCCAATTTCACAAGCTCCACCTGTCAAGCTGCCGACTGATCCGGCGGCTCTCCCTTCAGTTGTAGCAAAGTCAAAGAAACCCGGCAGGTCTGTAGCAAGGAAAACACTGATGAGGGTATGCAGCGATAGTGATGAGGTGGAAATTGTTGAGGGTATGACCCAAAGCGATGACCTCAGGAAGAGGAAGCGCACGTCCAGTGGCGCAACTGAATCTGAACCGGTCGCCGCTTCCAATCAAGCCGCCAAAGACGCCATCGCGCTGGTAATGGCAGAGAATGACATGGCCAAGGACGTTGCGCCGGGAAATACAGATACAATGCCCACCAGGCCCAAGGGCAAGCCAAAAAGCAAGCAGGTAGAGATAGTAATCTTGTCCAGGTCTGACATCACAATGGACAGGAAAGGCAAGGGAAAGGAAGTTGTGCTGCCAGTGGAGATGGACTGGCGGGATCATGGGTGGAAGAAGTCTAGAGCTGTTAGTTCTAACAGGCCGCCAATCAAGGGGAATCATTTATCTACCGAATCGCCACCGATGGCACCCGCCGGTGATCAATGGAAACCATGGTATGAGGCACAGGTACGGAGTATTGTTTATCTATCCTTCTGTTTTCTTGATCACTGTGTGCTGCAGAAACAGGCGAGTACTGTGGCGACCATGGTGAAACGGCAAAAAAGTCAAGGCATGTCTAAGGAGCACCAAGTGACGGCCACCGCTGAGTCTGTCGGCGACGTTGGGATGGCGTTGGAGGCTGATATCAGGGCTGTAAGCAGTCAAAATGCCTTATGTCTTCCTCCTTCTCATGTGGTGCAGAATACTACCATTGCCGCCGTTCCACACACACCTCCTCGACAAAGTCAATCCCCTCTGTCATTTGCCGGCGACATGGACATTGACCTGGTCGGTGACACAGTTGCAAGAGATTTGCAGGCCATGACACTGGAGGTGAAGACTGATTCGAAGTCCCTCCTTACGGTCGTTCAGGATACGATCAACGAACTCCAGACTCAGGTGGCCGATATCCGAACTCAGAATGCCGAGATGGCTGAGTTGATTCAGAATATGAATGGCCGCCTTGCTGCCCAGGATACTGACATCCGAGCCATGGAGAAAATGCATGCCAAAATGGCCATATTGCAAGAGGAGGTCAAAGCCTTGCACGCCGAATCTCAGACTCGCGATTCTCAACTCCGGAACGCTGATGCAATGTTGACTGCACAAGGAAATTGTACCGCCGTGCTGATGGATGCCTATGAATCCATCTGCCAATGTGTTGTCCCGAACCAAACTGTTCCTCATTTCAGTAATGCTACATTCTTTCCTCCTGCCAGTCAATCAGCTCCATACAGTCAAGGTATGAGCGCCGGGCAGGCGCAGGTCATGGAACAGCTTTATTTCAATTTGACACCAGTTCCATCCACCATCGCCGGTAACTCCGTGTCAAATATCGCCGAACCTTCAGGTTCCCAGATCAACTGTCCGTCTAGTGAATCGGCATCTGGGAGGGGTCCCACCTAAACTATTTCGATTGGTAGGGTAGATAATTTAGAACTTCGTAGAAATGTTCTTGTTATATTTTCACCATTGATAACCATATGGGATGCGCTGTTGTGATGCGCCGGCCTAATGCCGATGATTGCCTTGCTTTCAGGCCACCATGCATCGATTCTCGCGAAGTTATGGTCTGTTTCCTTTATAGAGGACGTACACCCTACCGCCAAGCCTGCACCATTATGTTCGTATTATTCCTTCATTGGCAAGGCTCGGGCACATGGCTGTCTTAACCGGGGGCCTGATATTTTTCTGTCATCATCTTATGTCCCATCATTGATTCCTGATAAGTGGTAATTATAAAGGTGTTTTGCAGTCAGTGATACGGTTGTGTCTGTCCCCGCCTCAATGAGTCTCATACCCGCTGACTGGGCTTTGGCCACCACTCATATTGCCAGTGACTATGTTTGCTGCCAGTTCTGTGCTATTGTTGGAGTGGCACCGAAGATCCTCCCACCGCCGGAGCTTGATGTTGTGTTGATGCTTGGTTGTTCCCACCTTGCAAGGATCCTCGCCGATGCATATCTCAATCCAGGTAATAACCTTTCCATGCATCCGGTGCTAGCGTTGATTTGAATTGGCTTTAGTCACTATTAACTTCGATATGACGAGGTATCCAAAGTACTGCAAAAGCAGGAGAGAGGTGTTAACCCCAGACGTGAAGAATTCCTCCTCACCCGATACCCGCCGGATCAGTGAGATTATCCTGGAGCGTCCTGCAGTTGTCCTGGACAAATTTGGTCTTATCGTGCTATGGTACCTCCCCGGAGCCATTGATGCTGCCATTCAGGTAAGCTCGCACAACTCACCGATGATCTCCACTCACTGTTACAGAATGACATGATTTCGGCGACAATGATGATGTCAGGCCTGCTGGGCAAGAGTATCACCTGTGGTACATCGCTGAAGGAGAAATGGCATACCGATGAATCCAATTTTCAAATCAGTGAACATGGCCTTACCTCAGGGTGCATAAATCTATCACCGTGCTGGTTCCTGCAAGCTCATCCAGTGCGTTGACATGTTGGAACAGAATATTCTCACCTGAGTCCTTCATAGGCTCCACAGTTTCAGCCTGAAGTGTCGGCGACCCTTAAATGCAACAATGGTGTGGCCTACTGTCGGGCGATGTGCAGACCGGTGGCCCTTGTTGCCGCTGCATTGAGAGTCATGCACTCCGGTCTCTATTGGTCATCATTGACAACACAACTGGGGCTCGGGGTTTGGGCAGATACTCATCAAACACAGACCATGGGGACGCGGCTCAGAGAATGGGCATCTGTCTTTACTGTTGTTGCTGTTATGTGCAACCAGTATACTCCCTTGCACCAAGATGCTCTATCCCGCACTCAATGGTTTGACATAATGACCAGTGTCGGCGGTTATACATTGGCGCGAATGAAGATGCCAAATATAGGGATTGAAATTGCCTATAATCCAGGTGTCATGGCTGGTACCTCGGGAAGAATTGTTAGGCATGGGGTGAACTGGGTGAACGGCGATCAAGTTGGCTGGGTGTGGTATATGAGGGATGATATTCATGAATTTGTAGATGTACCCCGAGGTGATTATTCAAGGTACAAATCTGTAATTACTGATGCAATGCAATTCGCATAGAGTTATGGTAGATATAGTACATTGGTCAATGCGACCACAAGTTGTCACAGTAATGTTAGATTCTGGACCATACATGCGTCGGCGAACTTCTGAACCAGTCTCACCAGCCATAGGTGTATCAGCAACAGTCATTGCTGTTTGGCAATATATCGCCGGTTCAAGTGTATCTCAGTCGATGGGTTTGATGTGAGCCCACCCTTGATTGACAATGTATCTCTTGGGCCGTATCCTACTACCGGCAGCAG